TGAAATTTGACATGGGGACGTGGAGGTTGATTGAGTTCTATTTCAGTCTGTAGAGAGCTAGGGCTGAAGATGTAGTGGACGCATGTATAGCCAGCAGAGGGGAATGAGGGCCATAATCCTGGCCATCAATCTGAGGGGGCTGAGCCAGGTGCAAACAGGAGCCAACTGCTCAATAGAAAAGACCCTCATGCAATCCAGAAGGTTGTTGATGTGTTCGGTCGTTGGTGAGATTATACCCTGTTGAAGGTTGATAGCTGCCCCTAGATATGTCGGATATTGCGTTGGGGTGAGTTTTGACTTCTTGTACTTGATCATAAAGCCTAGGTGGTTCGTGATATAGCAAGTAAGGTGGGTGGAAACCGCTGTCTCATTGGATAATCTGCCGATGATGAGCCAGTCATCAAAGTATTGGAACAGCATGATGTCCCACGTTCAAAGGTGACCAGCAACGATGTTGCCAATCCTTGTAAACACTCTAAGTGAGGTTGAGAGGCCGAAGGGAAGAGCTGTGAATTCGTAAAGGTTCCTGTCTTATAGGAAGAGTAGGTACTTTTACCTTTGTGGGTGAATCGGAATGTGGAGGTACATGGCATCTTTCAGGTCTATGGAAAAGGCCCAGCAAGGAATCGGGAGAGACTAGATGACTGTCCGAAAAGTCTCCGTGCGGAGGCATGAGGTTGACAATAGGTTGCCAACTGTTGAGTTCTTTCTTTGGAGTGAGGAAGAACACTGAGATGAAGCCCTTGTTTGCCCAAGATTTGGGAACAGTGCGGATGGCTTTTGTAGGAGAGAGTCTATCTTAGACTCCAGTGCCTCTCGCTTTTTTCTGTTGGAAAGAACTGAAGTCGGGTGGAGGATAGGTACAGAGGGAGAGGTGCTCCCGAATTTGAGTGAGTATCCATGGCAAATGGTCACAAGCATCAAGCTGTCAGATTTGACTTTCTCCCAAGACCCTGCAAAAAATGTTGAAGTCACCTGCCGACAGTTCCAAAATCGGAGCAGTGACGCCTACCTCTGAAAGCTTGAGTGGCCGGGGGCTGAAGCAGGATGTGAGCTGTAGCTTGCACCAGAACCAAGGCAGGTCGAGGAGACGAAGCCATCATGAGAAGATCAGATTGTCAGTGGATGCGGATCAAATTCTGGTGGTAGAGGGTCTAGATCTGGAGCAGTCGCCAGGGGAGCAGGGTTAGGCTCTTGGTGACTGGCTATTGAGGAGAGTGTCTCCAAGAGTATATGGACCCATAATGTCGGCTGAAGAGACGTCCTGCCATGAGCAGGAGCAAGACTTCTTGCACTTGGACCCTGTGGAAGAAGACGGGGAGTGCTTTGCGTTTCTTACGCACAGGTGACCTGGTCATAGAGCCAGTGGTTGAGGCCTGGTGAGTTGGTGAGGGGTTGGAGGCTTGCTCAGGCTGAGGTTCAGGTAGAGCAGGAGAAGGCTGGAGGACTGCAGGGTTGGAATAAGTCTTCCCACAAAGGCCCAGAAGGTAGCTGGAAGACAGAGTGACGTACTGTGTTCAGAAGCCCCGACGACGTAGGAGGCCAGTGGGTTCTGCTGCCCGGGCGCTGGTTGTGGTGTGCCCGTGAGGCCCAGTACTGTCTCTGTAGGGGCCACAACAACGGGGTGTTGGCTTGAGAGGGATTAGCATCTCTGTCACACCAAGATGCACCAGTTGAAAACATGTCTGAAGACGATGGCACCAGGGGTGAGGCAGCCAGTATAGACAGCATGGGAGGCGTGGGGCTGTCCTGATGTGTGGTCTTGTGAGCCATACTGTTAGACCAGTGTAGACCCCTGTAGGTGATGGTCGAGAACTTGCTGTTGGCCAATGTTGCTTGGTAGAAATGCTTGGGAAATGGGACGCATGTTGGTGGTGTGCCCAGATCCAGCTTGCAGGGGAAAATTCAACCCTGAGTGCATCGCCACTCGTTGACTGCGATGCTTCGGTGGTAAAGTTGGGGAACTGAGTGTTTGATTTCAAACGCAATACAACTCAGACCTTTGAAGTGTGGCATGGGCTAACCCTGAACTGGACAGAGGATGGTACTGCCAGCAGGAATTAGTGCAGAATCACAAGTATAGCATGGTATGCCACTTGATCTTCTGCAGACCAACTCCTGTCGGTCTATAAGGGGGACTGGCGCCCGGAATCAAATTGCTCGCACCACCTCGTAGAATACCCAACAATCCCAGGGTCACCCTGTTGACCTTACTGGTATGTATCACTTCTTAGTACAGTAACGTAGAGTCAACGAGTCTGTAAGATGTACAGTAAACATGTAAGAGAAAATACCACCAAAACAAGAAAATGCACAAATCAAACTAGAAAATACATGTACATCAAAATACTGAATGTACATTTATTACAATACATTACGGTTGATCAGAGTAACACAGAAACGTGGAAGCAAAACAAAAACTTGGCCGCTCCGCTGTGCATCATGGACTAGAGGGTGAACTACACTTGATCAGAACTTTAGCGAATAGAATCAGACACACAGGAATTTGCATATTTAGCGACTGTTTAGGGAAGGTTGAAAGCAGAAGACAAATATCACATTACATGTAAAATACGTTTGGAAAGTATGCCATTTATTTGAAATTCTCCGCATCTGATGCACCCTTTGAAACAGCCATGTAGAACATGTAAACTTGCTGTTCCTTTCTCCAGTGCAACTGTTGAATAAATCTGCAGCCATGGAGGTATAATTACCAGTATGCGCTCTCAATGAGCTCACATGAGTGGCGAGTTATTGTCCATGCTAGTGTTTTTGGAGTGTAATTCCCTGCAACAACCAAGCCTGGTAATTTCCATCACTGCATATGAATTTCATTTCATTATGACTTCAAGTGCTTAAAACAAAAGCTAAAATTAAAATGAGTACAGCAATAGGGCAGCAGTTGTGCTCAATGCCAAACTTAAATAGAGAGGTGTCATGTCACTTGTTATCGTCGCCGCTAAGTTTTGTCATCGGGTTATTTTCTCCGACGC